CCACTAAGGGAAGCCCTGTGAGTGCCCCGAGTGTGGGAAGAGCTTCGTGCTCTGCTCCAGCTCCATTTCCCCAAGGGAGGATCGGTGTTGGATGATCCCCAGTGACCCCCGTTGGGTAGAGCCCTGGTGATCCGTGGTCCCGGTGATCCCTGTTCGGTGGGGGGAAGGGGCTGGAGAGATTTCTTTGCCGTCTCTCTGTCCCGCTGTGATTTGGTTGGTAATAAATTCCTTCGCTGTGCCCAGGCTGGCTCTGTTGTTCCCGTGCCGGTGCTCGGGGCGGGATCTCCTGTTCCTTCTCTCAACTCCCGGACATGCCCTCAGCCAATCAGAGAATGCGATGAAGAAGATTCAGCCAATCAGAGCAGCTGTGATGACTCACCGGTTGCCGGGCAGAGCCGCAGCACCCAGTGTTCCCCACCTGGATCCCACCCTCCCCCCCAGTCACGATCCCCCCGCGGGGTCCCCCCAAGTCAATGGAACTGGGTAAAACTTGGAAGCTTTATTGGGAGCGCTGGTAGCAGCTCGGCTTGGACAGAGTAACAGCAGTGTTGGAGGGGACACACTCCCCTCCCAAAATCAGCGAGGGGACGGAGCGTGGTATCCTGGCTGGGTTCGAGGCCACGGGGAGCGGCTGTAGACACTGCTGGCTCAGGAGTTCTGTGGGCAGAGAAAAGGTGGTGACCCCCGGCTGGCGGTCCCTAGGAGGAGCACACACACTCGGGGAGGGGAAACACGACCCCCGGGACCCCCCCTCTCCTTGCACAGTTAGTAGCTGAGCCCCAGTGCCACGAAGACGAAGCCCAANAAACCCTACGAGTGTGGGGAATGTGGGAAGGGATTCAGAGACAGCTCCAGCCTGATCCGGCACCAGGTGATCCACACTGGGGAAGGGCCCTACAAGTGTGGGGAATGTGGGAAGAGTTTCACTGACAGCTCCAGCCTGATCCAGCGCCAGGTGATCCACACAGGAGAACGGCCCTACACCTGCTTGGAATGTGGGAAGAGTTTCGGGCGGAGCTCCAACCTGAGAAAACACCAGCGCATCCACACCGGGGAGAGGCCCTACGAGTGTCCCAAGTGTGGGAAGAGGTTTCAGACCAGCTCCAATCTCCTTGTACATGAGCAGATTCACACAGAGGAGAGGCCCTTCCGCTGCCCCGACTGCGGGAAGGGCTTCAAGTACAACTCCAACCTCATCAGGCACCGTCTCATCCACACTGGGGAGAGGCCCTACGAGTGTCCTGAGTGTGGGAAGAGCTTCTCACAGAGCTCTCACTTGACCCAACACCAGCAGAGGCTCCACTAAGGGAAGCCCTGTGAGTGCCCTGAGTGTGGGAAGAGCTTCGTGCTCTGCTCCAGCTCCATCCCCCATGGGAGGATCAGTGTTGCATGATCCCCAGTGACCCCCGTTGTTCAGAGCTGTGGTGATCTGTGTTGGGTGGGGGGAAGGAGTTGGAGAGATCTTTCACTCTCCTATTCTTTGAGCTATTTGGTTGGTAATAAATTTCCTCCCTGTTCCCAGGCTGGGTCTGTGATGCCTGTTCTGCTGTTTTTGGACGATCTCTCCCCGTATTAATCTGACCCAGAAATTCTCTGTTAAATTTTCTCTCCCCTGTGCACCTGGAGGGGCAGGGTCAGTGGCTTTGGTGGGTGCCTGGCATCGGGCCAGCGTCACCCAGGCCATGGGCACCCCTGAAATCCCAGTGTGGTGATGCATTCCCCCACTTCTAGAGAAAGTGCTGACCCAAACTGAGGCCGGGATGAAACATGGTTAAAACTGGAGCCCACTCTCTTGTGACCCTCTCA